GTGCTATATATGGAATTACATACTTTTCATTCTTTTCAGTACTACTGGATAAACGACGTTATGGTCAGTATTCCGCCATTCACTCAACTGATACTGAATTCGGAACTGCGACGCGACATAATAAAGTTCTTTCGATGTCGACGATATCGAAACAACCCTATCAGACCCACTGTGATGTTCAGCAATCGCCATCCCGGNAATGTTGCTCCTGCGTTCTGTCAGGGCCCCTTGCCCTTGTAAGATGTTATAGCGTGCAGATGTCCGACATAATTTTTGTTTTGATTTTCAACTTTGGAGCAGTTCTCTACAAAAAGTCCTAGATCGTTGTTTCGCAGGCCTCTTTCGTACTGAGCTCCTACGTTATTACCTTTCTTACCGGATACGGTCTTCTCTGTTCTTCTCAGCCGGATCCGTCGCCATTTTTGGCACCTTTGTCGTCGTTCGGTTAGCCATGAAAAAATCCCAGTAATTGTTGTGAAAGATGGTTTCTTCTTTCACATTAGTTACCGGATTTTAACTCCTCTAAGGCATTCAGAAGCAATTGAAAAGGGTAAATTCGAATATGAACCCACAAAAAAATAAAAAAGAGGGGTCATGACGTGAGAGTTCTCTTCATAAGTCCTGTTCATTCCCTTTCTAAGAAGACGTTAGACATTCCCTCTCGACCTAAAATTCATTCAGGATCACAGCGGTTACAGTGGATAAGAACAGTGGATTTCAGGGCGTTCTAGGCCAGCGTTCTAGGCCATCTAGGAGATAACTCGAGACTGCGGCCTGTGAGGAACCACCTGGAACATGGTCCTGAAGCCATAGTGTTTTGATGGCGAAATTCACCACTGCACTACCCCAAATACACACTCCTTTTCCGCCTTTCCGCCAGCATGGCAATGTTCATATAAAGCGAATTAGGGCCCCTTGTTAAAGGTGGAAACGTCACGCGCTCCGAAACCGCCCTAGAAGAACGTGTATCGTAACAAGACCGTGTTTCGCCGACTATGCAGTTTGCAAGGCCAGCAGGCCAGCAAAGATATCTCTTTGATCGAATCCGATAGTAGTGGTTCGGTATGAAAGTGGAACATTATGTGGCCTTTGTGATGGCGAAAGTAGGATACAAAACATTTTCATGGACACCTCAGCTTTGTTGATAATCGTGCATATAGCATATCGGAGTTGTACTAATGATGCTTTGGCTCCCAGTCAATGATCAAGTACTTGTCGTTTTCTGATATATGGATAGAGTTTTTTCATACCAACTTCAACTTTTTTCTTCTATTTTCTGTAGGACATTTGCGTCTGACCTAGGACCTTATCTAAGAGATTATTCAATAGTACTTCGAATGGAGGTTTCCCCGTGAGGTGGACCTGCTTGAGTGTTGTCCCTTGCCATGACTTCTTACCCATGTCCGTGACTTGGTGTTGAACTCTATTCTAAGCTTCCCTAGATATAGTTTACACGACAGCTTGGACCTGGGACAAGTGGAAGGAGGGAGAGGAGGTAGGTATGTAGATTAGTGAGCAGGCTGTCACAATCGAAGGAGTCTGATGAAAAGAGCCATCATTCCCACAAATGAATTGACGAGGGTAAAGGAAGCTGCCCGGCAACAAAAGTTAGTGCACAACAACATACATGTGGTCAAAGGATCGAATCTTGGGTCGATTCCCGACCAAGCCAACCAGGCTTTTCATCCCTCCATGGCTGGTTGATTGGCACGGAGGATGTATGCATGTTACGTTACATAGGCTACATTTGCACTCATTCACTGCGACCACAACGTGTGGGTGGAGGTTGAATGCGGGTCAATCCTACAAAATCGTCACTATAAAGACATTTCAAACTCTATAGAAAAAGCAAAGTCGTGAAGGTGATTACAAAGGGTTCAGCTTTCACAGCAGGTTATCTCATCAAGTCATATATTGAGGCAAGTATGCACCCAAACATGGCAAGGCATCAGAATTGACGTCACTTGCAGGTCAAGTAAAGGAAGGAAAGAGTTAAATGAGTGGCGGAAAAAACCTCGCTTTTATAATTTCTATGGTTGTTTGCTATAGTCCCTCATGTAAACGCTACTGCAAAAAAAGTTACGACTTTGTCTGTCAGAATTCGAGAACTTCTACGCTCCCAATTTTGAATTTGCCCGCAAGCTATGAGAGCTTCGATTCGATTCGGTTCAAGCTCCTCTTCCAAATTCGTAATTTTTTGCAAAAACTGTACCAAATCCTTTAACTAACAATTTTCAGGCCTCTTCCAGCGTCTATGCGTTGAGGGCAAAATCCTGTCAGAATGATCGAGTAACTCCTCCCCTGGATTATAGTAACATCCACGCAGCAACAGTAGGTGTTTTACTTTGGCATTCCTTCCGATTAGCATTTATATTTAAATCCTCGAACTTGAACTATGTATTATGGAACTTTTACCCTCGTGCATGAATATTTCTACATTTTTTCATAGATGAGTGTAGTATTCTTTAAAAAAAGAACATGTAACGTGTTAAATTCAGCACCGCAAGAGTCGATATAGGAATTTCAATTTCTTGATTACAAAAACCACGATCTTAGCCATATGAACGGCTCTAATGAGGTACTATCAATTCTACTGGCTAGCTTCGTCTGAAGCTGAGTGAGCTTTCCACATTGATCAAACATCTGATCATATTGTTTACCCTGCCTTGAACGAGAGGTTAATGGAGGATCAAATCCCAGCAAATCTATGAACATGAACTTTGTATGCCATTTCTCGTCTGTTGCCACGTCATGACAGAGCAGCATCACAGTCAAATTGCGTTCCTGATTGGTGAGTGGAAAAAGTAATTCTACATAATTTCAAGTTAAGCTGATCCACAGATAAAGGGTTAAGCGAACATAGGAACAATCTCAATTGGTAGATATGGCGTGTAAAAAGGGAAAACAAAACAGAACTTTGCACTTGAAGGTTTGGTTAGCCACTAATTTCTTTACGTAAAGACTATTTATGATACCTCGAAAAGAAAATTGTAATAGATCTTAGAAAACTTCCGCTTTCAACTAGTATACGCCTCCTGAAGTAGGATGTTGCCCACTTGAATTATATCTTTCTTACGACTCAGACTGCGATTGTTCGTTCACCACTTGAGCATTTGATAAAGATTGATCACATACCTTTTGGAAGCAATCTCCAGTGTCATCTTCGCTCAGAAGTTTTTCATTTCAGAGAATTTATTATGGTTAATATACCACAAACTGTGATAGATGCGATACTTGCGCTCAATTATCTATTTGTCCTATTCATCATTATCACTTCTAAGAAGGAAGTCTTCAAAAACGTATTCTACATGATGTTCGTGGCAACGGGTGAGGCATTGCTAAGATATTCTTGTGAGGCCAAAGAGCCATTTTTCGAGAACTCTTCTAAACATTAAAGTTTGTTGCTCCATGCCATTCGGCCGGATATTTATTGCAACGTTAAATGTTGGCACGTTAACGGGGCGCTCGTATGAGTTAGCAGAAACTCTAGAGCGACAACGAGTTGATTTCTGTGCCGTGCAGGAAACGTGGTGGTCCTGCTGCAAGTCGGGACATTGGCCACGGCTTCGAATTCGCTCTCTGTGGTGGTCCCAAAACCAGCAACGGAGTTGGCATAATTGTAAAGTTCCGTGATTCGATAGTGAGCG